ATGTTTTTATTTTTTGTAGAGACGAGGTCTTAGGGTCTCAGTATAGCCCAGGCTGGTCTCTAACTCCTGGGCTTTGAAGCAGTGCTCCTTTCTCAGCCTCCGGAAGTGCTAGGATTATAGGTGTGAGCCACTGCTCCTGGCCAATATTGTTTATTATGCAGGGTGTGTCAAAAGTTGCCATACATAGGGAAAATGGGAAATTGTAGCTAAATGTACCTTTATTTACAAAATATTCATTACAGAATTTTTCCTTTGTTTGGAGACTTTTGGGACAACCCTGTGTTTTAGCTTTTGGGTAGTATACATTTGTCAGATTTTGTGGCTTTGGGTTTTCTTTGTTGGTTAGAAAGGCCTTCCTCATTCCAAAGTTATAAATACTTTACTCGTTCTTTTCCTGAAATCGTGATTGATTTTTAAAAAGTTTGTATCTTTTACCCATTGATTTTATTTTGATGAAAACATCTACTTTTATTTTTCCCAATATTATCCATATGTCTCCATGCCATTTAAAAATAATTCAGGCCAGGTATGGTGACTCAATGCGTGTAATTCCTAGCACTTTGGGAGGCTGAGGTGGGAGGATTGCTTGAGGCCAGGAGTTCAAGACCAGCCTAAGCAACATAGCAAGACCCTGTCTCTATATAAAATACAAAAAATTAGCTGAGAGTAATGGTTGACATTTGTAGTCCCAGCTTCTTGGAGAGGGTGAGACAGGAGGATCACTTGAGCCCAGGAGTTTGAGATTGCAGTGAGCTATGATGATGCCAGTGCACTCTAGCCTACGGGACAGAGCAAGACATTGTCTCAAACAAAAACAAAAAGCCATTTCTCCTATTTGTAAATTCTTAAACTACTTAGACCTGTTTTTGGAACCTGTGGTCTTGTTTTTTTTTAAAATATCTTTTCTGTCTTGGTTATTGTAGTTTTAAAATAAACTTTAATGTTGGTGGGTATAGTGTTTTCTTGTTATTCCCCCCCCAGTTTTCTTTCTTTTTTCCCTTCTGTAGACTACCTGCAGGTCACCCCCACCTCCATTTTTTTTTTTTTTTTTTTTTTTGAGACAGTCTTGCTGTGTTGCCTGGGGCTAGGAGCTAGAGTGCGGTGGCATCAGCCTAGCTCACAGCAACCTCAAACTCCTGGACTCAAGTGATCCTCCTGCCTCAGCCTCCCAAGTAGCTGGGACTACAGACATGTACCACCATGCCCGGCTAATTTTTTCATATGTTTTTAGTTGTCCAGCTAATTTCTTTCTATTTTTAGTAGAGATGGGGTCTCACTCTTACTCAGGCTGATCTCAAACTCCTGAGCTCAAAGGATCCTCCCGCCTCAGCCTCCCAGAGTGCTAGGATTACAGGTGTGAACCACCACGCCCGGCCCCACCCCCATTAAAAATTTACTTTTTGAGTGCTGCCTGTTATTTTTGAGGTAGACTTCAGTATAATTTTATAATTTTAACCCCTTTCCCCTCCAACAGAATACATAAACACACTCCTTCAAACATGTTAGTGGGAGCCCATTGAAATTATAGGTTAATTTTAGGGGCATATTGAAATTTTTATAGTATCAATACCTATCTAAGAACATGATTTACATTTTCCTAAATTTTCTATTTATATTTATTAGAGTTTCAAAAGATTTCTACACATAGGCCCTGCCCATTTCTTTGTTAAGGACATTTGTAGGAGTTTCTTGGTGGTTATTGTAAGTAGAATATTTTTTGTCCATTGTATTTTCCAGCTCTTTGTTGTTTATATCTAGAAAGCTAAGTATTAGTTAATTTGCCACCTTAGCAAATCTTTGACTAAACGTTTTTTAAAAAAAATTTCTATTTTAGGCTGGATTGCTTTTGAAAATCAGTTCTTCAAATAGTGCTTTCACTGCTCAGGGAATCTTGCTACTGCCTCTACCCTTCCCCCCTTTATTTTAGATGTAATTTATGGCATTTCTGGTTTTTTATTATATGATGCCTATTTTTTATTTTGCTGGAGATGTACGGATTACTTTTTAATATTCCAAGCGCATTTCAATTGTGTTATACTCCCTGGTTATTTATTGATGATTATTAAATGTAAATATATATTGGACTGTGTGAATAAACAGAATGAGTGACTATTTTATAATGATGCCTTGAAATCATCTGTGTTCGTGTGTATGTGTGTGTGTGTGTGTGTGTGTGTGTGTGTGTGTATGAAAAAAAAAAAAGAAATGTCAAAGGTTTTGTTCTGAGAAGTATGAGTCCTGGGCCAGATGAATGTGAATAGGAAGAGAGACAGTCTAAATCCCCAAAGTTTGGAACTCACAGAAGGATGATAGAAGTTATGGAAACTTAAAGGCATAAAGCCCCTCCATACCATGTGCAGACAAATGTGGCCATTGTTATTGGTGTCTTCTGATTGTCAAAAGATTTTAACAAAGATCCAACTCTGCCATTTTGGGTCTCTTGAACAGATAGGTACCTAGCAGTAATACTGGTGGTTTGGAGAGTACAGAAATACCTTTAAAACTTTTCACTGTGTCCTGTATCAAATGGACTCAATTTTATAGAGATCTGGCTATTAGAAGTACCTTTTCTCTAGAATTTAGGATTTGGGGATTAGATTTTAGGGAGTTAGATCATTAGAAATTGTCCACTGCAGTCCAAATACATTTTAAGGACTAGGTGTTAGGTCCTTAATCTAATAAATCTCATGGTGGAAAGATATTAGCAATAAGAATAGATGTCCAGAGCTGTGTTTTCACTTCAAATTTTTGAAAAGTGTGCACCGAAAGTTGATGCTGGTGTTTATGGTGGAAGTGTTTGTGGGGAAGGGGAAGGTAGAAACACTGACTTTTAGAGAGGAAAAAAATATTTTCATTATAATGAAAAGTAAAATTTTCTAGTGGCATGGAGGTATGACTTAAACTAATCCACTATATGAATTATACAGAAATTAGAAAGATTCGTGAGACTTTCCAAATCTGTTAAAGTTGTTTTTTAAAGGACTAGAAAATATTAGTGAAAGTTGAAAATATGACTCACTTCTGATAGCAAGATATGCTTTACTAATAGTCATGAACTTGGAAATTCTCAGTTTCTGAAGTATTCATTAAAAATGGCAAGACTAGAATGTAGATAAATTTGCTCGTAACCCGTAACTATGAAAGTGCTGACCAAGGTGATTGCTGAATGTGAGTGTGCACTTTAAGAAACAGAAAAACTGGCCAGGAACTTGTTACTATATCATGGTCAGATAATTAAAGCCTGAACTGGAGTGGCAGCTCTAAATTTTTAGATTTGGGAGGAGAAAGAGAAAAAATATCTCCAGAATTGCAAGGCAGGAGCTGCTGTGGCACTCTTGAAGAAGAAGGTATCTTGAGTTTTAGTCCTTGATGAGAATATTTGCATGGAAATGTCTCACAGCACACCAATAAATGAGATAACAGGCAGTTGGAGCTGGAGAAGAGAACAGAGCTAAATTACAAAATAATGCAGTTGAGTAACAAATGTGGTGGGAGGGCACTGCGAGACTTGAAATTTATGAATTACCTACATTCTGTGGTTGGTCATCCTACATTGTTGAAGAAAGTAAAATGACAGGTTTTATTTTCATTCCCATCTGTTTCCCTCTTCTGCAAGACTTTCTCTAGTTCCAAAGATTTTCTGGGGTTATAGTGCTGATCTACTTGCTTTTAGGTTCTCTTACTGCAAGTTTATGTTTTGTAGTCTAATTTCCTTAGAATAATATCTGACACATAGTGAGCATTTAAATATTGTTGCTTTTTTATTACTGTTAATCCTCTTTCATCTGCTTTATAAATTAAAAAAACTTTTTTTGTTGCAGTTTTGTCTTTTCCCTTTATTCTCTTTTTTCCTGTGGGTTTATGCCTATAAATCTCTTAGTGTTACTTAATAGACTTTTGGGAAGGAGTGAGATAAACAGATGTGTTCAGTTGTGCCATGCTTTGACCAGATAATGCATGCATTATAGCTAATATTTAGTGGACATTATGGGCTGTAGTGTGATAAAGATGTTTTAGAAAAGTATTCACTAAGTACCCAATGGTTTAAAGTATGTGTTTAAGCATTTGACTAATACAGAATGTCATTTAATGTTAATTGTAATAATAAAAGTGCCAAGGACTGCTTGCCTAAGGTTACTTAGTGGTAGAATAAGAATTTGAACAACAGTAATTCAACACTGGAGTCCTTCACTTTCTTGAATATGTCAGATCTTATGGTTTCTTTCAGCTATGTTAATCAAACGAAGTTATAGTAAAAAGTCTAATTTTGATAAATAATTTTAAGGCTAAAAACAACTGATTTTTACTGAGAATCTATTTTCATTCCAAAATAGTTTTGAGGCAATGTATTATACTTACTATAGCCCCCCCCTTTTTTTTTTAAGGGAAGAGAAGTAGACAGGGAAAAGATGATTAAGTTAATGACAAAGACAGTATCCAAAATGTCGTGCATTTTACAAAAAGGTGGACTATAATATTTATAGCGTTTATAACAAAATTGAATTCTTACTCCATGCCAAGTACTGTGCTCAACATTGATTACTTTATTGTTTGGTATGTATGGTACGATACCATAATTAACTCCATTAGGCTAAAACTGTGCTCAATATACAAGTGGTAGAGCTGGGATATGAATCCCTGGTGTCCAGACTCCAGAGCTTGAACTCTTAAGTCACCATACTGAATACTGAACTTTCAGTCACAATATTAAATACTGCCACACTCATCTAATACCTGTGGTGTTCCAGGGATATACATTTACTTTTGCTAATTTCGAGATAGATGATACTGTGTGAAAAATGAGATTCAGAGAGGTTAAGTAATTTATAAGATCATGTATCTCATGAATGGTGAAAATGGAAATTAAACCCTGATCTGCCTAATTCTAAACCCTGTGTTCTTTCAGCACTCTATATTGTCTTTGTGTCTCTAATGTAGCCTTTTATAGTTATGCAACATTTAACTTGATATGCTTTTAATAATGTTTTTGTGTCTTGAAGGGATTTATCAAAGATGTTCATGAAGATTCCCTCACAGTTGTTTTTGAAAATAAGTAAGTTATTTTTATTGGCATCTTAACTTTAGAGATTGGTAGTGCCTAACTATTTTGTGTTTGGGTGTTTCTGCTGCCAGTGGGAAAATGATATTGCTTTGTTGGCGGGGGGGAGCATGCTTTGGTTGTTTGATCATCTCAAGTAAGCCTGTTTTTGATAATTCTGCACCTGTTTTTCTATCCACAATTTACTTGTCACTTTTTTTATAACCCACTTCTTTGCCAGAACATGTATGGACATGAATCATTAAGTAGTTTTTGCAAAAATAGATGGTTCAGTTATAATATGCTTAATTCTTAAAAGTCCAGCATGTTGAAATGATGTTGCAGAAGGCCTTCTAAATGGCTACTGGTAGTCACAAAGTTTAATATTAGGCCATCTTTAATTGATATTAATAAGTAATCAATTTTATAGATATTGTAAGGGTTATGTAGTCTGAAAATGGGAAAGACAGAATGCTGGGCTTGGTTAGGAAGGGTTATAAAAGAGCACTGTTAAATTGAAGGTTAGAAAAGGACTGTTCAGCTCCACTTTTAAGCTGCTTCTGGAACTGCTTGAAAAGATCTTTGCCCAACAGTTGCTTCATGTAGAAACAAGTGTTGAGATGATTTCTGTCTTTGAGGAGCTGCCATTTAGATGGTGACAGCAAAAAGAAAGCACCCCAAAATCTTTTACTTGTCAGCTGCTGCTTTGCCCAGTATTCACAGATAGAAACTTAAGGAACATTTTATGTGTTAGTATGACCTTCCAGGCATAATATATGACCTTTGTGAACTTCAGAGTAATGAGGAATTTTTGACTTTATAAATTCAGCTTATAAAATACAACACAAAAATGCCAGTTAAGCAGTGTTTAGATTAGTAGTTTAATACATTCATATTTATGTCAAAGATTAAAGGTAAGCTTTTTCTAGATTCTAATTACAGTATGTGTTTTCATTGTAGAAAAGACGAATGTGAGAAAATGAAATCTTTTGTAGTTCAGCTATTCAGAATAATTGCCAATTAATTTTTTTTGTATTTTTGTAAACACTTTATACTAAAAAGAATTGTGCAGTTTATATTGTTTCATAATCTATGAGATTGTGTTCCTTTTTTGACAGGTCTTATAGGTATAAAAGTGTTTGAAATAAATTGATCTCACTACTGTTTGGTAGCTGTGTGGATGTGACATTATTTCAAAGCTAAGTCATTACAATGAACTTAGCCTATTTCATTTGCAGAATAATGTATGTACTGTTCTTAGAATAATTTAGAAGATAATATATATAACTATCAATGATGTTAATTACAAACTTTATCAAGAGCCATGCAAAATCTGTTCTACCTCAGTAACTTGGGAAATTATATAGTATGAATTTTTTTTTCTCTTTAAGGAAAGCTAAATGATTAACTTAAAAAATATATAGCATGAAGCATGGACTATATAGATTTCATATTAGAGGCTATTAGAATGACATATTCTAAAATTGTTGATACCTTTTCAATTCCTTCAGTTGGCAACCAGAACGCCAGGTTCCATTTAATGAAGTTAGATTACCACCACCACCTGATATAAAAAAAGAAATCAGTGAAGGAGATGAAGTAGAGGTATGTATTTTTAATTTTATTTTCTTGGGCCTATTTTTTTGGTTTGAATAAATATTCTCGTAGGAAAAATTTAATTCTTCTTTCTATTGGTGGTGATGTCTGTGTAATGTAGCAGTGCTTGAGTTTTGGAGTCAGAACTGGTCTCAGCTCTCCCGTGTTTAGCTTTGTGGAATCGATAAAGTTTCTTTATCACTGTAATGAAAATAATTTGAAAGATAAGGATGATAGTGCATTTGAATTGATTTTAAAAGAACCTGGCACACTGTTTTCCTTTTTGCTAATTACTTTAAAATTTGTCTTGTGAATTTTGCCTCAATATCTTTGTAAATGTTATTATACTTTATTACAGTGGTCATTAATATAGTTCATATATAACAATGTGAAATACCATAATTAGCATACTGCCTTATAGAATATTCTAGAAATGTCTGTGGAAAATTTTAAATAGTACAGAAAAGCAAAAAAGAAAAAAATATCACCACTCAGATTTTAAAAACTCCAGTCATGGTGTGTATATTATTCCAGGCTTTTTCTCCCACCACCCCCCCCCCAATAAAAATGGGATCATATTGTACTGCTTTCTTGTATCTTGCTTTGTTTCATGCTTATTATATCTTGGATGTCTGTCTCTTCAGTGTTACGTTCTTTGCTGTTATTAATAGATGAAAAGAAACTTGGAAGTAATGGTCAAATACAGGTGCAATGATGAGTTTGACAGATAACAGAAAATTTGATTTCCAGTTTTGAAGAAATTGGTACCATTCCTCTTAGGTGCTCAAATATGCTGTATGTATATTTCCCACAGGAGGTTGGTTTGATAGTATTGAAAGATTTTCAAGTCTCATTTGTATCTACTTTATATAAGGTGGGGCAGTTGAGGTGGTGGGATAGGGGAGAGCCTTTACTGATGGAATAGCTATCTAGGTCCGGTGCAGTGGATCAAAGCTATAATCCTAGCACTTCGGGAGGCCTAAGTGGGAAGATTGGTTTAGGCCAGGAGTTCGAGACCAGCCTAGGTAACAGCAAGACCTCATCTCTACAAAATATTTAAAAAAATGAACCAGATGTGGTGTTGTGCACCTGGAGTCCCAGCTACTGGGGAGGATGAGGCAGGAGGATCGCTTGAGCCAGGGAGTTTGAGGTTCTAGTGAGCTATGATGACTCCACTGTACTATAGCAGGAGCAATAGAGTGAGACCTTGTCTCCAAAAAAAAAAAATTGCTACAGTAATCAAGACAGTGTCGTATCAGTGAAAGGATGGACAAATAGAGCAGTGGAAGAGAATGGAGAGCCTCAAAATTGACCCACATGACTATAGTCACCTGATATTTGACAAAAGAGTAAAGGGAATACACAAAGCAAAGATGGTCTTTTCAACAACTGGTGCTGAAACAACTGGACATCTCCATGCAAAAAAAAAAAAAAACCAACCTGAAATTCTTACAAAAATTAACTTAAAATGGATCACAGAACTAAATGTAAAACACTACCGTATTGAAAAAAGGAAATAGCTGTCTAAATATTTTTATTAGCACTTAAGAAGTATATATTCTGTGCTAGACACTGTAGTGAACATTTTGCAAGCGATTTTGTTATCTGTCAATTTTTTTTTTTTTTAATGATTAATTTTCTTTGAGCTCTCTTTAATCCTAGATTTTGTGCTAGGAAGCCAAAGAATTGCATCAGTTTAACCCCTGACAGCCTAAACTTGCTTTCATTTAGAAATTCTGCCTGGATTTTAATTACTTGCCCGAAGTTCACTGTGCCTTATTTTGCTTTTGCTAAAGCAAAGTATGTTATAGCTTAACTGTGTCAGGGCTCCATGAGTCAACTTTCTAATGTTACGGTGCTCACTTTACTCACTTTTGTCTTTATAGTTGACTTCATTAAAGTGGGTGCTAAGACTTTTTTGTAAGGAGACCTGTCACTGCAGTCTAGGTGTGTGTATTAGTGTTATTGAAGAAAATGTCACCAATATCATGGGGAGACACAAGGAAACAGTGCCGAAGTGACTGCTGCTAATCAAGGAGTGTGAAGTATAAGTAGGATGCTTGGTGGGTGCTATATATGGCAGTGATGCTGCTGATTACCCTGTTCATTTGGACTTTATAGTCCTTTGAAAATGTTTTTCTCAGTATTATATTTTCTAATTAACATCTTTCTGTAAGGATGGATAAGGAACTTGATTTATTTTCATTTTTCAAAATTTACTTCTGGTATAGAATTTTTCCTCTGGAATTTGGGCAAACAAGAGTTAGGTCAAGGAAGGAATGACTTAGGTTTGGAAATGTTCTAGAATTAGAAACTGTGGTGATCAATTTTGAGAGTAGTGTTTTTTTATACCTTTTTGTTCAGACACTTACTGGTAAAGTCTCAGATTAAAGGAAAAACTACTCTTGGTGAGTACTGAAGGTGGTGTTACAGTGTACTTTCTCCAGTCCTAGTCTAGGAATGTCCTGCCCTGTTTTTGAACCATCTCTAGCTCATCTCCCCAGCTGTCAACAAAACGTTTATGTTAAGAGATTGAATGATTTAGGAATTGATGATCCTAGAGATTTTTATTTAACTTTGTGTTTTATGATTCACCCCTGGTGAAATTTGCTGTCTACAATTTTGTGAATCATCTGAAGTTAAGATGATGTCTTTTTTTTTTTTT